AAAGTAATCCATTTTTATCATTTTAGGCTTTTATCATTATGAGTTTTTAAGATTCTTAAATTGTTCCTGAAAAATTGGAGGGATGTATGGTAGTAAAGACCTTTATGTTTTTGTATCGTTATGTTTATGTTTTTCCTCCGTTACTGGTCTAGTGGTGGGGTATAATGGGAGTAATTTAATATTTCCGTATATTTTTGGTCTTCCTTTTTTACATATTTTACATTATTTACAACATATTCACATAATAAGTACGTTGTCATTAACTTACCTGAACCGCTATCAGTTGACATAGTGGTAAAATATATAAATTATTTTTTCCGCCAATAATTAGTTCGGAACAGCCCAACTGAATTAATGCACTATCAAAATAGAACTACATAAATTCCATATATTGTTAGGTAGACCGGAAAGNCTTAAAAAAAATTGTTTATTAATATTTATACAGTGAAATGCCATAGGAAAATTTACAATGCATCCACTTTCGGACATAGAAGCAAAATCATGATTTCATCTCTCTTGTATATTTACGTTCTACACCTTTAGGAAATCCATTCTGCCCCTTGGGTGATTCAAATTCCGCGCTGCTCCCGCCGCTAGTACATCGCGCGGCTAGAGAGGGCAGTAGGTCTGCGAGGAAACCATCGATGAATGTCAGTGAACGTACCTAAAATTACTTCACTACATTCACTGCGGACTCTTGTTGCACAGAAGTAAACAGAAGCGTCGATCCGATCAACAGTTCTTAGGCTGTTTGATTAAGTTACAGCCATCAGGTGAAGTGAAGGGAGTGAGCGATCCACGTATTATACGTCCATGGCTCTCAACTCATGTCGTCCATGTTTACTTTAGATATAACAACGATTAAGTTCTTGACACTTGAATTAATAAAAACTAGGTGTATTTAATGACTGCGAATATAGCTGCAATGGGAGAAGCAAAACTTGATGTAAGCAATGCAATGTTTGTGATAACGTTACATTAGTACATTAAACGTGGTTTTTCTGTTCTTTTGGCTAAAAAATACATTGCACGTATCTGATATTACAGATGTATAGCGATGTAACATACATGGTCGACCCACAAAATGTGGAAGGCGAAATGACAGTGGGAGCGAAGCATAAAGCTAACCTTGGAGAACCTGAATTTAACACATTAAACGAACCAATTAGTGTCACAATTGTAAGTTTATAATGAAGTAAATATATAAGTAATAAACAATGAACATGGACCTTCCTGTAATAAGTATTATTACAGTTGAGGGATGTGCGAGCAGTGGGAAGAAAGTTCTTTCATGTTTTGTATCCAAAAGAGAAGAAGAGCTTGCTTAAGGAATGTATGTGTTTCTATCACAGTTTACTTAAAATTTTGCAAAAGCCACTTTAAGTATTTATCGATCTATTGTCATGTTTTTAATTTTAGGGGATCTCTGGGGACCCTTGGTACTATGTACCTTCATGGCAATGTAAGATAACTCAAATCGTATGAGCTACAATTAGTTTTTGCTATTTACTTCTATTTCATTGTCAGTCATAGAAAACAGTTGGTTATCAATTTCTATTATTTTTAGGATCTTGCAAGGCTCTTCAGATGCGGAGAATAACATAAATGATGGAGGTCCAGAATTTGCAGAAGTCTTTGTAATAGTTTGGATTGGATCAATGGTTGTTACATTAAACTCCAAACTTTTAGGTGGAAATATGTAAGCAAAATTGTATATTAAATAAGTTTTGGATTTATTATATCATTCAGTTTTTAAAGTAGTAACTTTACATTTGTTTATCACACAAAAGTTTACTAAAGTAGTATATTTAACACAATCAGTATAGTAACAACTAACAAATTTTGTTCTCTAGATCCTTTTTTCAAAGTGTGTGCGTCCTTGGCTATTGTCTACTTCCAACGGCCATTGCATTAATACTATGTAGAATAATATTAATTGTGGACCAAAGTACCTTTCTATTCATCCTACGATTCCTGATAACAATGACAGGATTTGCTTGGGCAACATATGGTAAGCATTGCACATCTTGAAAGTATTTCGGTGGTTACTTTCGCGTAGAGTATGATGTTTCTTACAATCTGACTTCAGCTTCGATGGCATTCCTTGGAGACAGCCAACCAGTGGGACGGAAAGCATTAGCAGTTTATCCAATATTTCTGTTTTATTTTATCATATCGTGGTTAGTCATATCTCATACTGTATAGAGTGTAAATTATACAAATTTTGACTTTTCAATAAGACTGTATAGTATTTATGCACAAACCTAATAAACCGTGGAACCCGATTTGATTTGTTTATAATGAGCAATTTTAGAATATAACTGTTTCATGGATAAATTATTCTTATCAGGTAATTAGTATTAACATAAATGCTATCGATTTTTTTGCCAATAAGAATATATTTTGTATAATATAAAACATTCACAGCATACGCATAGTTCATTATTCTCAATGTGTACAGTGTCTACAGAATTTTAATTTACAGTTGAAAATCAAACACAAGCCATCTATAAGGTTCACCTTCTTGATCCAATTCACTTTCAAGATCCTAATGATAATCATGTATCTAAATTCTTTATTGTAAATAACTCTTTAGGCAAAAAGCTAGAGGATTAAATACAATTCTACAAAAATATGCATACTTACCACAGAGAAACGTTTTACATTTCACTGAAACGAGCTTCTAGCTTCTTGAATAACTCTTTACTATTACAATGCTCTGGATACGCAGTTAATGCTTTCTTTACAGCATTATAGCTTGTCTGCAAATCATCCATCTTAAATAAAAAATGTTTATCTTTATTATGTAGTGTGCGTGCGCGCGTATTTAAAATTAATTTAAGACTAGTTCAAAGAGTGGCTCGCTCGTAAAAACATAAATCTATGAAAAAATTAACTTGATAACTTGATAAAAGGAAAAAGAATGCAAAAACAAGGGTATGTAGGGTTCTAAGACAACAACCGATGAGATGTATAATCCCTGACTCCGAAATCATGCAAACGTAACTTTTCAAATCAAAAGGTCTATTCTAGAGGTTTTTTTCGCGTTGATTGCACTTTCTAACTCGAGGGTAACGAGGGTACTACACTTTTCTTGAAAAGTGCAGAAGTGTAAATACACTTTCATCGACGTCCCGAACGCCAGAAACCTCACGAAAGTCGAAGATGACCGATTTAGTAGAGAGGTACGCGATTTTGAGGTTATTTATATCGGACGAGAATGAATACGAAAATTTAATGCCTCTTCCAGCCTTCCTTCGTGAACAGTCTTCGTTTTCTTCAAATCCTACAATTCGTTCTATTACCTTGTAATTGTAGAAGATAAAAATTCCTTTCACGAATTTTAGGGATTGAGGATCAATAAGGGTGAGAATATTATTGTAGTAGAATTAAAAACAAATTAACTACAACAGGGATAATTATAGTTTAGTTCATTCCAACTGTGGTTTTGTAGTAATACATAATAATTGTAAATTGTTTGAAACATTATGTACAAAACTAAAACGCTAAATCCTTCTATACATGAACAAGATGCATTAATAATTACTTCTGTTTATATTACGTTGAGACGTTTGCATAAATTTGAATTTTCCTGTTTCTTGGTCTTTTCTATTTTGAAATTTGCCGCCAAATTCGCGGGCTACACTTATTGCGCCCGCTCGGGATCGAGGGTAGAAAGTGTAGAGAAAGTGTACATACAGTCGGTGTAGATGCACTCGCAAAACGAACAGCGACGCTGCGTCATTTCCGTCAAAACGAACGCCAAAGTGTACACTTTTCGTAAAAGTGTAGAAAGTGTACACTTTGGCGTTCATGTTGCCGGACATGATGCAAGATGTCGCTGTTCGTTTTGCTGGTTAATGTACACTTTCTCTGCACTTTCTACACTCGATCCCGAGAATGTGCAAGATGTTAGAAAAGTGTAGCCCATGAATTTGTCGGCAAATTTCAAAATTAAAAAGACAAACAGGAAAATACAATATGTACCACTATCTCAACGTAATATAAATAGAAATAATTATAATACATCTTCATGTATAAAACAATGTAGCAGTTAAATTTTGTACGTAATGTATGAAACAATTTACAATAATTATTTATAACAAATTACTTATCGATTTGCAATTTATTTATTTACAATAATTATGTATTACTGCGTAACTACGGTTGGAATGAAATAAACTATACATTTTCACTGTTGTAGTGAAAAGTGTTTTTCTTTCTATTGCAGTAATATCGTGACCCCTCAATATCTAAAATTCGTGAAAAAAGAAATTTCCGTCTTCAACAATTGCAAGGTAATAGAACGATTAGTAGGATTTGAGAAAAACGAAGACAGCCCAGGAAGGAAGACTGGAGAAAGCATTACATATTCGTATTCATCATTATCCGATACGGATATCTCCAAAATCGCATACCACTCCACTAAATTGACCATCTTGGACTTTCTTGAGGTTTCTGAGGTTCGGGATAGTCGATAAAAGTGTACCTACTGCACATGCACCTTTCAAGAAAAGTGTAGTATACTCGTTACACTCGAGTGCCGAAAATGCAGACAACGCGAACAAACCTTCAATATCAAGTTATAACGCAACATCCTCAGACACAAACGAACAAAAACCTCTCAATTAGTAAGCCCGGCACCACACGTACCGGACAAAATCGTCCGGCATCGGATATCCGATTACTACCCAAGAATCCACACGTCTCCAACTTTTATCTGATTTCATTATTATATATGTCTGCTAGATTTAGTTCATATCAAAATAATTTCTTCGATGCTGAAGGAAGGATCGCGTGGGATCGGTCTAAATGAAACTTTGACCAAGAAGCATTATCTATGTAATGTTTGTAGGGTTATTTAAAAAATGACCTACTTCAAATGCAAGATGTGCACTATTAAAGTGCGGCTCGTACATGTATTCAGCAATACTAGCTGATGCATGAAAATAAGTTCTCGCCGCTATTGAATTATTTCTCTTTATTTCCAGCACCCCAAGGTTATTGTATGACGGAGCATGCCTACTGTCAGCAGCGATAGCCAATCTTAAACATTGATCCGCCATTGCGTAATCGGCTATGAACTGTAAAAGATTGAATATATTAATAATTTCTTCAAAAATGATTCTTTCTATATTGCAAAGATTAAGGGATGGTAAAACTGGGGTTTAGGGAACCTACCTCCGTGACCTTGTCAAGGTCACTCGCCTGAGGGAATTCCATAAGGTTTTAACCGTCACTCGTTGTTTGTTAGAAACTGATTCACCAAATAATTTTGATAACCCTGTAAGACTGTGACAACAGCTCTGGGACGATTACCGGAACGGAGGTGGTAGTTTGGTGAGTAGTCTGCCCCTCTTTCGGAGGAGGTGAATACATTCCAGCGATAAAGAGCTTCCACCACCTCCTTACGAAAAGGAAAATAATTTTAATGAGTTGAACGTTTTCGATATTACGTATACATTAAAAAATTCAGAACATAAGATAATAAACCATTCATTTAATTTTGGGGACCCTGAAATTGGAGTTCTGAGATATCTGCAAAATGTAGGAAGATTGTGAAAAAACATGCGAGGAAATATTCTTCGTTATGAAATCCGTTATGATTTCGCAGTTTACGAATTATCTTGCTGAATATTCATTTAAAAGAAGATATCATTTTAGCGAACATATTATGACTTTTTAAAAATTGTGAGTTCGATGTATCCGTTAGAACAATTAGTTCATTCAAAATAATAAAGTGAATTAGAATTTGATGTATTGCAAGTAATAGATGACTGGTCGCTTCACGGCGGCCCGATTCTCATTATTAACCTAACCTGACTCAAATTAATTTGTTCTAAAACAGATAAAAATATTAAGGTGATACGAAAGTAGCGTCAAAGAGGTCTCGTTGATGAAACTTTTTTCCGCAATGGGTGTACCGAATCGTTTCAAACTTTACAATGTGAATATGGAGGGTATAAGAAAGGTCCTGACACTCGTAAAATTTCAATTTTTTAAAAATTTGTTTAGATATTTTAAACATTTATTGTAAAAAATGAAATTTCATAGGTTTCAGGACCTTCTTTAAAATCTCCATATTCACGTGATAAAGTTCCAAACGATTCAGTGCACTCAGTTCGGAGGAAAGTTTCACAAACGATTAGTACCTAACCCGTCAGATGCCGCTTTCATATCACCTTAACGTATGTTTAACTTCATATGTCATATCTTCAATGTTTGGAATTATTTAATATGAGTTAATTTGGGTTAGGTTAGGTTAATAGTTCGATTTCGGCCGCCGCGAGACGACTGACCAGCAGTTAATGGCAGCAATATATGAGTTTTTAATTGGATATTCAACAACATGCGACGACTAAAACCTTGTGAACGTCACTCAGGAGGGTGACCTTGACGACACATGTGAAGGTCAAGATCATCAGAGATGAAACCTCAATTTTACCGAAGATATTTGTTACACCTTGATTGATATAAAAAGTAATTATTTGCAAACGTACTCACGCCTCATGTTCAAAATGGTAATATTGATCTGTTATATGGAATTTAAATTAATAAGCATTTTTAGGAAAGTTCTAGTACTTCATGGAATAATTTTCAAAGGGTACACGTTATTTTATCGGTAAGTAATTATTTCCACTAAGGCTGTAACAACTGTGAGTCGGCCATCTTAGATTATGACGTCAGAGGCGAAAAAACGCATGAGATTCCCAACCGGTATTATTCGAAACGAATAACATTTTCCTGCCAAATTGGAAGAATCTAGATATTCACGAAATATGTCAGTGGGTCATTTTTTAATGGATTATGTCCTAGGAAACGAGAAATCATTTTTTGAAAAGTGACCTGGCAAGGCCAGTGACAACCCGGCAAGAAGGCTGGAATTGACTGGGATTGAAAATTTTAATTCCAGTGAATACCTGACTTCTTCATTTGCCCTTTATTCCATTGGCGATAAATGAAAAAAGCAAAATGTAATTCCTATCAATTCACTCTGAAAAATGGAAGGGAACGGGATTCAAAGGAATTCAAAAATACGAGAATAGGAATAGAGCGAAGGAATATGAATCTCAATAGTATTTGTGGAATTGACACAAATTTTTTATTTATACGGAAAAAAGAAAAAAAGCGAAGAAAAATCGATTTTTATGATTACGTACGTTATACTTCAGTTCCTGGCAGTATTCTCATATATTTTTACCTTAAGTAGTAAAGTAATATTTGATACTCAAAAGGGTGGTTGCTCGATGATAACTTCTCTTTTCCCTCTCCTTCGGGAAGGGGTAGGGTCATTGTAACATAAATGTAAGGAATAATAACAGTTCTTACATGCAAACGAGCTTTCTGCGTCGCCTGCGAGAAGTCTGGCCATCTGGTGGTTCTGTTGAAACTAATGGTGCCAAACCATTGTTTCCGCAATTACATAAGCAAGTTTAGAGTAACCTTGCAATATGTAAAATCTTACTATAATTGTTGTTACAGCTACCTGATAAACCTTCTATCTAATTGTACTTATTATAACCTCTTCGTATAGTTAATATTATTGTAGCTGGATCCGGCTCGAAGGACCAAAAATTGTTCCGTGACACTAAAGAGCTCGCGATTGTCAATTAATCCCCGAGGATCGTAAATCCTCGGGCTGGGGAAGACTAGCTCAATTAGTGTTTTGCTGAAGGAGGACTTAACCGCCAGCAGCTGGTATCGCGTTTGAATGAAAATATTCCGGATTCCGGTAACATACAATAGACTATATTTCTTATATGGACAAGGAAGAACGCGTGATTTTATGACGGTTGTCAGTTGACTCGGCTACTGTGGATACTTGATTCGCGTTGATTCGGCAACGAGTGAATACGATGTTCAGTTGACTCGGTAACTAGAATGAAAAAACGTCGCCGAGTCAACGTTTTCCCATTCTAGTTGCCAAGTCAACGTTTTCCCATTCTAGTTGCCAAGTCAACGTTTTCCCATTCTAGTTGCCAAGTCAACGTTTTTTAGAGAATTCCGTGTAGTCTCGGCAACTGTCGGTTGGAATCTGATTTTTACAAAAGTATTTAAAAAGTACCAGAGTGCACAGTTTTCCCCCCAACTCGGTGAAGGGAGGAAGTCAGCCTTAAGTCAATAATTCTCATTGGCAGGAAAAATTCTCGAAGGTTCAGGGTTTCCGCCCTCGCAGGCACTCCCGAAACGGCTGGTCACGTAGGCCGCGAATTCGTGGAAAATCCTTTGAGCGATGTCTCGTCGCCAGAAGCGGACTTCGGAATTTTTGAAAGTAAAAAAATGTGTTCGCCAGGCGTCGTCCTATGCCTTTCGTCGACAACTCTAGAAAAGAGACCCTTTGAGAATGCTCGTACTCAAGTTTATTGCCCCCCTTTCGTGGATTGCTTTGGCGCTGCGGTACGCGTGGGAAGGACCTCTAGTTTTCCATGGGCCCTGACTTGAGCGGTTAAAAAATATTAATTTTACACTAATGATTATCTCGTATGGGCTATCGACGCTCCAATTACCATCTCAGTAAGAAGGCTGGAATTGATTGGAATTGAAAATTTGAATTCCAGTGAATACCTGATTTTTCCTTTACCCTTTATTCCATTGGCGATGAAAGAAAAAAGCAAAATCTAGTTCCTATCAATTCACCCTGAAAAATAGAGGGGAACGGGATTCAAAGGAATTCAAAAATACGAGAACAGGAATAGTGCAAAGGAATATGAATCTCAATACTATCCGTGGAATTGAAACACATTTTTTTTTTATTTACACGGAAAAAAAGAAAAGATCGAAAAAAATTCAATTTTTATGATTACGTACGTTATACTTATGTTCCTGTCAGTGTTTTCATGTATTTCTGCCTTAAGTAGAAAAATAATATTTGATGCCCAAAAGGGTGGTTTCTCGACGATAACTTCCCTTTTTCCCTCTCCTTCGGGAAGGGGGAGGGTCATTGTAACATAAATTTAAGGAATAATAACAGGTTTTATATGAAAACGAGCTGACTGCATCGCCTGCGAGAAGTGAGGCCATCTGGTGATTGTGTCGAAACTAATGTTGCCAAACCATTGTTTCCGCAATTATATAAACAAGTTTAGAGTAACCTTGTAATATATAAAATCTTACTATAATTGTGGTTACAGCTACTAGATAAACCTTCTATCTTATTGTAGTTATTACATCCTCTTCATATGGATAATATTACCATTTTAATTGTTGATCACTACTGTACCTTTATGCGCAGTGCCATAGACGCAGTGCCTATTGGCAAGGTTACGTTTATCATTCCATGTGGTCAATTTCATCATTTGTGCGTTTCTCGGCCCCTCCGAGACTCGACTACACTCGAGCCCGCGCGACAAATTCGAACCCGGCTCCTCTGACCGGTATTTTATAGCCAGCCGAGGCTCGGCCCCCGAGGTCGACCCGGATCGGCGTCTCCGTGAGGAAGCCTAATGCCCACCGACTTTCGATCGACACGTGCGTCGCCGTGCGAGGTCTGCGCTGCGTCGCCGTTTCACATCGAGCAATCCTCCCCCGGGCGCCCGATACTTTGGCAACGCGGTTCCTGCCCCGACACCGCGTTACAGTTTATTTAATTATTACTTTATAAAATGCATGAGGTTTAATCAAATTTATATTTGGAATTCAGGAGAATACAATACATATGAAACCAATCTCAAATATTGGAATTCAACTACTTAATCTCTCGGGCATATAAAGTGGAATTGATTTAAATTAGAAGTTACAAACTTATATTCCAAAAAAGGGATTCAAGGCAATTGAATGCACAAACTTTTTAAATCAACTGGAAGGAATCAGGCATTCCTATAATGTATTCCTCTTAACGGAATACAAAACGATTTAATACCGATACCTTTTACCGGACTAGAAGGAATTAAACAAACCAGAAATATATTCCTCTTTTCAGAATTGAACAAAAACCAGAGTACACAAGGGGAATAAAATATAATTGATTCACAGAAAATATATTCCTGTTGCGGGAATTGAACTTGGAGAGAAAAATCAGGTATTAAATAGAATAGAAAAATCATCACTTTTACGTTGAAACTGTGAGATATTGAATCTTATTCTATTCAAGCCATTCTAGTGGGGATCCCAAGCAATAACCACAAGATGGACAAGAGTATCATCACAAACACGGACCGTCCGACACATTTTACATATCCACTGATTATTTCAGCAATAATGACTTGATGAAAAAATAGTTTGAAAGAATACCGGAGGGAAATGCCTCGCCTCTGACATCGTAATTCAAGATAGCTGACATGATAGCAACTTACGATTATTACGACCTTAACGTGATAGATATATATAGATGATTACGACCTTAAGGTAAGATATGAAGAGCCAGCCAGAAATATTTTAAAAATTGTTTGTATTAAATAATGATTAATATAATATAAAATAATGTTTATAAAAATTATTTTTTCATTATGGATTCTGTGTTTTAATACTTTAGTTTAGAAAAGGTATTAATGAACCAGAAGTGATATAGTATCGTATTTAATAAATCGTAACGAATTTCGATAGTTTTTGTACCAATTTGAACTACATAGCTTTATATTCTGTGCTTTAATTCTTTACCTAATAAAAGATCTGAATGAACCTGAAAAGAAAGATTGTTTGTATTTGGTGCATAATAAGTGATTTCAATTGTTTTGTGACCAGATTAACGTAATGTAACCGAAATTAAGGTCAGAAAAGACTATTGACGGGCACATATATATATTTGACGAAGTTTTTTTGTACACCAGAAGAAGGAATTTGTGATAATATTTAGCACAGATAATTGATTTGAGCGATAAGGAAATTCCGAAAAATCTCACCCCCCATATTCTAACAATACCCGAAGCTCACGAATACCGTGCAGAACCTAAGCAACACCACTACTCCCCGACGCTATTTCCACACTATACAGATGCCCTAACTTCGCCACACTAGTTTCTAGTCGTACCCTAACAGAAGGCATAATAAGCCAAATAGAAAGTACTATCCACCGCCTTCCCAACGAAACAGTCAACGAAATTCGCAGACAAACCGCAAATATCCTTCACAAATTTAAACTGCCCAAACCAAACCTAACCTACACAGAACGATCCGCCTTCCGTGATCTCATAAACAATGCTGACCTACTACTTCCGGCAGATAAAGGAAATGCGACAGTAGTCTTCAATAAGCAGGAGAATGACAGCAAAATCCGGCATCTCTTGGAAGATATAACCTACCCACAAATCCACAAGGACCCGACCATTCTCATCCGGAATTCCTCCCTCAACACGACCACCAAAAGAATCCTTACACCTCACGAATCTAAAGCCCCCAAATTATATAGTCTTCCAAAAATCCACAAAACCACTTCAGACCCATCGTGTTAGCCATCGACTCCCCCACACATAAACTAGCCCGCTTCCTAGCAAAACAACTACAGCCCCTCACTGACCAAAGCCCATCATTCATACAGAACTCCAGTTTCGTCTAAATAATTCCAACAAATCAAAATTCTGCCCAACAATCTCCTAGTCAGCTTCGATATCGAATCCCTTTTCACAAAAGTCCAAATCCTCAACGCATAGACATAATCCGCCAATCCAAAAAATCTCCACCAACTTGACCCCCCTCATCGAGCGTTATTTATCCTCCACCTATTTCGTCTATTAAGGAGAATTGTATGAGCCTGTTAAAGGTGCATTAATGAGTTCCCCGGTTTCCCCTGTTATCGCTAACATATCCATGGAGCACCTAGAATCCAAAATTCAAAAAGAAGCTTCCAAGAAACCTGATTTCGATACGTCGCTAACATCTGGCCACGCGGTAAAAACGAACTCCCATCCCAATATAAATTTAACAATGGATTATAATCCAACGACTAACTTCTCTTCCATGATGTCTTCTTAAAAAAACGGCCAGTCGGTTGCATAGGTCATGAAATCTACCGAAAACCCACCCACACAAACAGATGTTTTCACGCACTTTCTCACCACCATCCCTCATAAAAAGCATCAGTAATCCACTCCCTAGTTAATTGAGCTACAACCATATCAGAACCAAATACCCTTGAAAAAAAAACTATTCCACTTAAAACATACCTTACAACGCAACGGATACAGAGTGATTGAAATTAACCACACCATTCACAAACTCAACAATCCTTAATAAACTGGACAAACCCAAAAAGCAGTGGATGACAGACTAACGACATCTTCCCACATATAAAAGTCGTGACCGACAAAATAGGCAGAATATTGCGCAAATACAATATCAAGCCAATATTTAAGCCCCAGCGAAAGGTTGCACAAGTTCTGGCGTCCCCCAAAGATCCTACAACAGTACAATCCTCATCAGGTGTGTACAAGGTGCCCTGTTTTTGCTGGAAGACCTGCATTGGTGAAACTAGGAGAAGAGGGTCCACAAGGATCAAAGAGCATGAAAGAGCCAGTAGATAAAAGCACCTCGAACAGTCTGCAATCGCGGAAAACCATAAGGAGACTGGTCATCAACTTCTGCTTGAAAATACGTCAATTATAGCCGAAGACTCTGACTTCTTCCACAGAAAATACCGGGATACAATAGAAATAAGAAGAAAAAAACATAAATCGTGACAGGGAATATCAAGCGAATCCCATTTGGAACACTTTTCTTCTGGTTTCTTTTTAATTTGATTGGCCAATCAAATTCTCAAAACCGAAGTGGTCGACCCCCCCCCCCCCCCCAAGAGGTGACTCCAGATTAATCGGCCTCCCCACCAGGCAGCTCGCAATCAGCCAATCAGGATGCATCATAACGCTATAAAAAGGACTCCTCCAAAATCAGGACACATTTCATCAGTGTCTGTTCTTATGAAGCGAACTGCCACGTTTATGATATGTTGGATCATTGACGACAATGTACGCAGGTCATTTCTGTAAGTCACCACAATTTTGAGAAACAACTGAGACCTCGGAAGCTTCAAATCCACTAAAAAAATATCTTTGTTTAGCATAGACCTGAACCCAATGACATATTTATGTCGTTATTTACTTCTAAGGCGCTTTAAACTAACAAATGAGAATGATAGGAAACATGCTCAATCATTTGAGACATAACGGTCACAGAAAATTATACATTCGAATCCGAAGATGGGAAAAAGTGAACCCGCGAATTAGAAGTACACGACATAGATAACATGTGCTCTATGACCACTTTCGGAACAACAAATGAACTGCCACTGAATACAGCAAATGGCGCCATAGTCTAATAGATTGTCAAAAATCACTAATACAGGGGATTTCGCGTTTTGCTTTGATCTCTTCATAATCATTCTACCGGATGGAAATCCCATGCAATTTCCTCGCCTGTAGCGTCATAATTCAAAATACCCGACTCACAGTTACTAGGGTCTTAAATGACACAAAGTATGCCATTTTGTATATTTAACAATGTAGAGTGCAACAGGCAACATCGAACTATTCGATATGTAAAATTCAATATCGGTACTCAATAACTTTTACTTACCGGTAATTATCAATATATCGAAATTTGGTACATACCGAAGTTTCGGTATTTATCGATGCTCAGTATATACTGAACCTTGGTAATTGCCGCGATCTTGACAATGATGAAAAGTTGACATTTTAACAAAGCTTCGAAAATTTTAAAAGCTCCTAATTTCAATTTAAAAAATTAAAAATCAACATGTAACGTTATAATTATCGTGAAAAATAAGAGAAAACCAAGTAAAACGTACTTTAATATAACCAATGTACTTTAACAACTTACTAACATAAATTAAATACGCTGTTAAATAATTACGAAGGTATAACTAAAACATGAAAAGAAAATGCTGACTTGTATATAACCTTATTGGCATTCAAAACGATGTGTAGTAAAAAAAATGAAGCGAAATTTGTAAATTGAGAAACAGTTTCGCAAATTTTTAAGATACATTTTTTTCTTAAGCGTCTGAAATATTTCTAAAATGTGAAAAAGGAAGCTTCATATATTTAAATATCGAATTTTGACATGCCGAATTTCAGGCAATCGTGATACCGTAGTTCGATAATTTTTCCAATTATTACTAATTACAGACATTCCAGTACTTGGAACATCCCTACAACACCATAAATACAGATATCGGTAATGTGATACACAGGTTCTGTTAATCTATTACAATTTTTTTTTTATCGACGTTGATGAAATTTCGCAGCATCTTTCACATCATTTTAAGAGGAACTTACAATGGCTATGTGGGACAAGTTGTACCAAACGTCAGCAGCGTTTTCATCATTTGCAAGCGCAAGAGCTCTCTCGAAGCAGGAGATTGAATGATCGAATTGTTGCGCATAGAAGCAACAAAGTCCAAGATTTGTGAAGAGCTCAGCATTGTACACACCCATCTGCAAGAGTCTTCTAGAAACCGATTAAATAAATAATAAGATAAAAAAGAGAAACATCTTATTAAGTTATGCTGTAAGAAAAGTAAAAATGGCAACTGTAAATTGTATATGCTTTAACACGTTCCCGCCGGCGCCAATTTTCATTTGTTTCCCCCAACGGCGGCACACAAATCTATGTCGCGCTTCATCTGGCGGCGCGCATTTCTCGCGTGTTCAGACTTGCACGCGCTTCTTGTTTCTTCAGTATTACATTGAGCGCTTACTTTGCAAATTATGTGACTCGTGCCGTTTTTTATATCCTAACCACAGATTTCTGTTAGTAAAAATAACTAAAAGGTGGTTAGAATATTTTTTTAAATTTTGCCCTTAAAAATATTTTTTTAATTTTGCCCATAACATGGATATGGAAATAAGTGATTCGTCTCATGAATGTGTAAATAGAGGCAGGAGAAACGCATCAAGATTACGAATACTTTCTTCCTCTTCAGGCGAAGATTTTGTTAACGTAAACAGCAACGTTATGAAATGTTCCTCGGGGGAAGATTTGAGTGTTGAAGTTACATTCATAATACTGAATTTTTATGTGTGTGTTATTAAGCAAAATTTATGTTCATAATACGTTATTAATTATAATTTTTATTCAAAATACACGTTTTTATGTATGTACGTTAAATTATCAGTGTCTAATAGCACAATCGAATGCGAAACACAGGTAGTACACGCCGCCCGATGATGCGTCTAGCGCGAGCCACCGGTGGTACACGCCGCCCGATGGCACAATCAAGCGCGAGCCACCGGTGGTACGCGCCGCCCGATGGCGCAATCAAGCGCGAGCCACCGGTGGTACGCGCCGGCGTGAACGTGTTAAAGAGATGCGAAAAGCGGTTCTGAACGGTCATTAATTTTAATTCGCAGAAAACTGTTCAGTTGAGTCAATGAAATTTTTGTTGATTCAATCATAGAATCCGGTCATTTTATCAACAACCAAATATTTTGTTGACTTGACTAAATTCTTCGGTTGACAACATTCGGTTGATCACATTAAATATTACGGTAGATCACAATAAATATTACGGTAGATCACATTAAATATTACGGTAGATCACAATAAATATTACGGTAGATCACAAATATTACGGTAGATCACAATAAATATTACGGTAGATCACATTAAATATTACGGTAGATCACAATAAATATTACGGTAGATCACATTAAATATTAGTGTAGTCATTAAGTTGGTCATATAACTATTTTAATTTCATGGCATATTCTTACAGAAAAATGTTCCTTTCGTAAAAGTTTTCCCTGCGAAAGAGAACTTTGTTTCGTCAAAAATGAATTACCGGCATCCCTCGTCGCGATTTCGCTTAGAATATGAGCAACTTATTGACAAAAAATCATGACTTTACCTGTGAAAGAGGCTCCATAGCCACTCGCCACCAAGCGGATACGCTGGAAACTTTATTGACTAAAAATTGTACAAAATTAACAAAACTATTTAACCAAAACACTTTAATTGATTGAAGCAAACGAATTTGGTCAAGTGAACTAAATGTTGGTTCGCTCAATCAGAACGTTTCCTGAAATGAACCGAATGCAGTCAATCAAATAATTCTATTAGATGAATTACATTTTTTCTGCGTGAATGCATGATTATGGAGGTGTTAAAATCGTTCCTGATACTACAAAAAACGGATTTAATCGGATCATAATCGTTCTACCAAAATTACATACGGGGAATGCCATTTCGTATAATTCGCAATGCAGAGTGTAACACATAACATACATAAATATAATTGTCGACAAAGTAGCACGCAGTTTCAGATAGTATATCAGTTAGATGATATATTAGAATTTTTTTTTACCGACGTCGATTTCATTTTTCAGTGCCGTTCACATCATCTTAAAACATAATACGTTGAATTAGCAAGAAAGTATAGTTGTAAAAAGATATATTCAACATTACCTGTAATAACGCAAAGCTAGTTCTGGGTGTTCATTGTAAAAATGATTCATACCAATGCTAGCTATTGCTTCCGTATGAGAGGCATCTTCTTGAGCTATTATCTTGTAATACTTCATTGACATAGGCATATTGTTTAGGCCCTCAAATATGCGAGCCATTTCCGTTAGTATTGATACCTAAATTAGTTTGAACATAGTTTAACGTAATTGAATAATTATACATATTTATAACTGAAAAGCGTGCTCTTTTACAACCTCATTATCAGGATTGAGCTCATTTAAATCATTTCATTGAAATCATTTAAATAAACAGATTTTTATTTATAAAAACCACGATTTTTTAAACAGACCGAGTATTACATACCGCGATCGTCTTGTTCGCGCTGTCATGTCGGAAAGCTAAAAATAAAACGTAGCTTAAATGTTACAACGGGTGACGTTGCATTTCTAAGGAAGAAATGCCATCACAACAGGGTCAGACTGTTTCAGCCAACACGACGCAGAATCCCTGGCTCGGGCGATTGCATGACTCGGCGGACGCAGACAATGAGAACCACTGCCCAGTTTGAATTATATTTGATTTTCTCATATAGCCTTTTTCGCACAAATTTGTTTTATTTTGTTTTCCCTTTAAACTACGAGAACTCAAGAAAAGCATTTAAAAGACTAGGTTGAGAAACCTTGACGATTAATGTATGGATGAATTAATCCAACTTGAGTCTCTAACTTATATTCTTAAATATGGCATTTTAAATCTCTACTAAAGTACATTGGGTTTGTTAAATCCAGTCCCTGTCATTAATTAGGCAACTGTAAGGAAATGTAGGATCATCTTAAATAGTCTCTTTCGGCTATAGGCCGCATGAATATTGCAATATTTCATGATTTAATTCCTTTGCAAAACCTTGAATATTTCGAGATGTAGAAATCTCGTCGTAAAATCTTAGCTTGTAAGTACGGCTGCCCAGCTCAAATCGTCCAACGCTCGACCGCCGAGGGACGACCCCAAACATTCAGGGATGATGATTGTAACGGGGCGATTCGGAAAATTTTGACAAGAGATTTTGGAATGAATTCAGAGCGCTTAGAAAGACTACACAAAAGAGAGAGAGAAGATCAGGAAAAAAGGATTACACGAATTAAATACTAAGCTTATCGAGGAACAGGATACGTTGGACCACTTGTTGTAATAGATACGGTTAGCAACGATATTGAGGAAACGTGCAACCAAAGTTGGCAAAACCAAATAAGAATTAACCTCCTCACTTACAATATCGTGTGAGATACGTGGTATGTCAATCGGGCCAAATGTAAACAAAACGTACGAGAGACGTGCGAGATGTTGAACGTTCAGCCAAACCGTGAAATAGCCCGATGTATGATCGACATTTTTGTTGTTTTTGGTACGCGCTATTGGAATTTAAATCGTAAGGCAAGGGATTAAGCAGCTGGAATCAGCGCAAAGAACGACAGTGAGCGATCGGCGAATTTTAAACCACGTTGACATCATAAGCACGGATTCGAACACGCGCGCATATCCTCCGAAAATAGAAATACCCACATATTCTGGAAATGGTCAGGAAAAACTCGTAAAATTCATTATAGACTTCGACCACTATTGTAATACCATAGGAGCAAACGAGTATGATTTAAAAACGATCATAGGCCAAAGCCTTAAAGGCATAACGCATGATTGGTTGAATCTCTCTGTGGGAGATGAGGTATCATCCTTCCCGGATTTCAAGCGAATATTTCTAAAGAAAATCTGGAATGAGGATACGCAATACCGCATAAGGCGTAACTTGGAGTACAGATGGTTTAACGAAAACCGAATGACAAGAACGGAATATGCGATTCAACTTTTCGGCAGCGCTCGCGATTTGTCACAAAATCTCAGTGACGAAGACGTAATTAAACAATTATCGCGACAATACAACGAAACTGCACAGCATGCTAGCATCTCTCGAGGGATATCGACTCTATCGGAATCCAAAGAATTATTGGAGGCGTTCGATCAGGTAGGACCAATTAACTATAACCGATCCAAAGAACGTAGATACTCAACGACAGAAAATCTGGTAATAAAATCCCCAGACGAATCAATTATGCAAAGTATAGATCCTCAAGCACCCAGAACAAAATAAGAACAGCAGCATTATTTTCCGCCAGGATACCCTCGAAGGGAGCCAGGAAATTATCAACGATTAGAACACTACTCACAAAGCAATAATAACTACGTACAGAACCAGTGATACCAAGGAAATACATATTCAAAATTTCACATGATCAATCTCCACGACGAAAACAGAGCAACGCAGCAGCGGCGTTGGTGGTTATCACACCACCCTTGGTTAAATAAGGAAAAACAAGCAGAATCAGGGAAACGTGTAAGCGTTGCATCTGAAATTCCCAAGTACACAGCAGTTTTCGAGCCACCGATGTATCGGCAGGAAATTAAGACAGACCAAAAGAAATCAAGAATCATCCAGGACATTCGAATCCCAGCAACAGTAAATATACAGCCGGAGATCCAGAAAGAAAAAGCATCATCGAGTCGAAGTGACGAAGCAATGGAGAACGTTCGATCCGAACTTACGGAAAAAGGCGAGGAAGACCTGCCGAGCGAGGAGGTAATCCAATGCCCAACCATTAAGGTAAAAATCGAAGGGATCCCTACAGAAGTGCTGATCGACATAGGCAGCGAAGTTACTGGTATATCCGAGAGATTCTATGATGAAAATAAAGAAAAATTAAAAGCTTGCTCGATTCTGCCAGTCAGAAGGACGCAGATCGTGGAAGCCACAGGAATGAAGCCGGTCTTCGTTACAAAACAAATCTATGCAGAAACGAGGATTGGGAGACGCATTATGCATATAGGATATTTAATAGTCCCCAAAACTCTTAAGGAATTACATTATCGGAATCGACAGCCTACTAAAATGGAAAAGCCCGATGGACTTCGGAGCACGTTAAACTACCTTTGTCGACGAGCGACAGAAAAAGAACCTTTCAACAATTACGGAATCAGCTGTAGCTATTCCAGAGTCGGAAGGAACCTATGAAAGGAATATGTATGAAATGGCCCTGACAGAGGAAAATAAGGAAAGCCCTAGCAGCCCAAAAAGAACGGACTACGTGCAAGACTCAAACAAGTATTGGGTCAGTCCCGAAGGAATGAAAGAAAAGTTAGAAGAATGTCAAGGACTAATAGAAGCGCAAAGGGCAAATCTCTATAATTTAGTGTTGAGATTCCGAGGCGTTTTCGACAAGAGATCAGGAAGGATACAAGTCTATCAACATAAATTGGAATTAAGCAATTACGAAACGTTTAAGAAAAATCATATCCGGTACCAATCGCATACGGCGAGAAAGTGTACCAAAAAATCCAGAAGATGATGAGCCTTGGGATTATACAAAGATCGAATAGCCCGTACATAAATTCAGTGGTGACGGTCATCAAGAAAGACGGGTCAGTCCGCTTATACTTAGGTGCCCGCTGTCTGAACGAAGTCATGATCGCCGACCACGAGTGCATGGAGACGACCGAGGAAATTTTCCAAAAGTGCAATAAAATCAAGATCATCTCGAGTTTTGACCTAACTAGCAGTTTTTGGCTGATACCACTCCACCCTGATTCCTGAAAATATACAGCATTCCTGCATAGGGGAAAATACTACGAATTCATTGTTACTCCATTCGGTTTAAAAACTAGCAGCGCGCATCTGATACGAGGACTTGACATGGTAATTCAAGAATTTGCTCTTCTATTCGGGATCGTGATTGATTGGCTGTGGTTCAGTTAGTTATTACAGGAAATGTAGGCACTGTAGGGAAAAAACAGTATAGGCCTTTTCGACTCCTTCTTCAACAAGATTAACACTGTATAAACAGTGACTACGAGTTTTGTTACAACCTTTATAATAAGGTGCCATTCTCACTCCCGCTCCCGCTCCCGCTCCCGCCCCCGCCCCCGCCCCCGCCCTCACTCTCATCCTTGCCCTTTCTCTTCCTCTGTCGCTCTTCCTCGCCGTTTACCATTCTTTCTCGCCCTCTCTCGTACTCCCGCAAACTCTCTCGTCCTCCCTCATCCCCTCTCGCCGTCACGCCCTTTCTCGCCCTCTGTGGCCCCCTCTTGCCATCTTTCGGCTCCTCTCGCCCATTCTCATCCTTTCGCGCCCTCTCTTGTCCCCTCTCACCCTTTATCGTTATCTCTCGTACTTTCTTGTCCTCCCTCGTCCGCTCGCCATTTCTCGCCTTTCCTGCCTTTTCTTGTCCTCCTTTACCTCCTCTTGCCTCCCCTACCCACCTTACCCTCCCAGCCAACTCTGTCGCTTTTTATCTACACAATTCCGTACACCCTTAACCACCCTCCTCAGCGCACACTGTTAACCACCCCCTCATCCTCGCTCATTCACCCACATTCATCTACAGCTGCACACAGCATAGCAGGATCAGTGGTTGCGGCTGTTGCAGTAGCGGGGGTCGTTGCGGCGGCCGAACGGAAGAATAATTCAATTAACATTTGCTTAATGTATACTCATCAAGATAATCGGTACTTTTCTGTAAAATACATGTCTTAAAATATGATATAAATACACATAATTCGATTACAAAAAGATGCGAAATCGCATCAAAAACACTTTCATCCGGTATAGAAAAAAAAAAACTTCGCTAAACACATGTGTCCGTCATGATCCTTCCCGATCATAGCTTCGGTTACATTGTATTAATTATGCATTAAATAACTTAAATAGTTACAAAACGACTGAGTTCAACACTATGTATCAGATACAAGAAATATATCATTTTTGGTTCATTAATAATTTGTGAAAACTAAAGTATTAAAACTGAATCGGTAACATAAAACGTATAAACAATTCTTAAAACATTTTTGGCGATTCGCATAATAACATAAATAAATCACTCCACAGATATTGAAACTGTACATCAACGTTTGTCCGGAAAGTAATACAATTTTTCGTTAACCAATAGACTTATTGTAGATATCGTTACAAAAGTTGAATATTCTTCGAAGTAGCTCCCTTGGGCATCTAAACACTTTTTCCAGCGGCTTTGCCACGCACGGTACGCGTTCTGGAAGGCTTCAACGGGGACCTCGGCAAGGACCCTCGTTACGGCGCCTTGGACGGCTTCAATCGACTCAAAGCGGATTCCTTTCCAGGCGGTCTTGATCCTTGGGAAGAGAAAGAAGTCGGCCGGAGCCATATCCGGACTGTAGGGGGGTACGGCAGCGTTGCCAAGTTGTGCTTCACCAGGTACTCACAGATGCGCAGAGCGGTGTGGTTTGGAACGTTGTAATGGTGGAGCTACCAGGTAGTGGCGATCTCCTTTCTCACTCGAACGACTCTTTTCCGCAATTTTTCCAGTACATCAACGTAGTAGGCAGCGTTCACGGTTTGACCTTGAGGAACGAACTCTTTGTGGACCACACCTTTGGCGTCGAAAAAGACAATCAACATCGTTTCCACTTTCGACTTACTCATTCTTGCTTTTTTCGATTTTAGGGATCCCGAGGTGTGCCACTAGCAACTTTGACGTTTTGTTTTTGGGTCATACTCGAAATACCATGTTTCATCCCCGGTAATACCCCAAGAAAGAAGGTTCAATTTCCACGCGTTCGAGAAATTCAGTCGCGACAGTCACCCAGTGATTCTTCTGATCGTCCGTTTAAAGCTTGGGAACCGGCTTGGCACACACCTTCCTTATGTGCAACGTATCGGTCACCAGTTCGTGTACAATTGTTTTGGGAATGTTGAGAGTTTCAGCAATCATCCGGACACTCAACCGATGATCAGAATTTAACAAATAGCGCACACGGGTCAAATTGTCGTTGGCTGTGTTAGTTGACGGCCGTCCAGCGCGGAGTTCGTCGACCACCTCTTCCCGGCCTTCCTTAAACGCTTTCAACCACCGCGAAACTTGCGAATACGATAGAGCACTATCCCCGAAACCTTGCACAATCAATTGGTGGGATTGTTCGCCCCCCTCTTTCAACGTACTATAATAACATAAAGCCTATGATATTTTTAGAAAATGATCGTTTTCGTATTAGTATTAAAAGTTTATTTTGCGGCTCGTCTAAAAATGTAATACGAATATTCGAGGATTTGTTCGAGAAACGTCTCGACCTGTGTCGAACTAGAGAGAAGATGAGAGTAGCCAGGCCCCCTTCTTCATAACTATTGCGCGGTGCTGCTCTCGCGGTAGCTGAGGCATCAAAAGGCGCGCTAAACGTAGAGTCCAGTCTGGTTTGGTTGAGTTAGCGCAGAGCCGAGAAGCAGTTACCTACTGACATTTACCGACAGAAAGTCGTTACACACCAGACACAAGCATACTCTAAAATACCGATTAGCACTTTAATTGAATGCAAATGCGGAGCTTTGGGCATGGCGGTGTTCACGTACGGAACCTACACGCAGCGAATCTATGTGAGTGCGATCGCTCCTAGAAATATTCGCGCGTCCCAACCAGCGAAACGCCAAGCTACAATTTGAGGCGCGAGCATGCATGTGTTCGACCCTCGCGCTCATAGCGAGCATGCGTGAGAGTCGAATGCTGCGAAAAACCTCCCGAGGCTTACCTAGTCGCGGATGTAAGCCAAGCCATGTCGCGTATGAGTTTTACTTTTAATTACATAAGAATAAACAAATATTCCTTTTAGCATTCCATTTGGATGTATCTGTTGACAATGGAGCAAATTTATTTTACCGGTAGTTAAACATATTATGAAGTATCAATAAAAAAACATCGTTTATAATGTCAACTGCAGATTGAAAAACTTTAAATTTCCCACCATTAGGAAGCACTCTTTCCATAAATTAGTATAGAACGAGACCGTGCACTTCACTCAACAGTTTCTCCAATTACATACTAATTTACGCCAAGAATGCGTCCTAATGGTGAGAAATTGGAAGTTGTTCGACATGAAGTTGAAATTATAATCTATGTTTATTTATTAATACATCATAATTTGTTTAACTACCGGTAAAATAAGTTTGCTCTATTGTCAATAAATACAACCAAATGGAACGCCAAAAGTAATATTTATTTATTCTTATGTAAGGAAAAGTTAAAATTGTACACGACATGGCTCGACTTACATGCGCGACTACACGGAAAACATAAATTGGTTGTAATTACTACAGTGACATAGCTAAAATATGAACTACAAAAATGGTGAGATGGACCGTATGAAATGGTACATGCAACGTTGGCAATAGGTACACTGCCATTCGTTGATGGTTACTTCGCGGACCTACTGCCCTCTCCGGCTGCGCGACGTACTAACGGCGGGAGCAGCCCAGAATTTGAATCGCCCAAGGAGCAGAGCCAGTCAAGCCGAGCTGAACCGAGCCTAGCCGAGCGGAGCAGTGGCATGTCGGGGCGTACCTTGGCGTGGGGGGACACAAAGGGTCCCCCTTTTTGGTCACAATCTGCGGGGTTTCACCCCCTGGGTCGTAATCCAAAGAGTGCCCCCTTTGGGTCACACCCCGCGGAGTTCCACCCCTTCTTGTTATTTTCGCCCTAGATTAATATGTTTAAAGCTCATTAAAATCCCCAAACCGTTTGAAGTGACTTCCCCGGTGCTATCGTTTTAATATATCGTACTATTATTGACATGTTATAAATGGAATTGTAGTCTATTTAGAGTATTGGTTACGACATTTTCTCTTTACAAATATATTTCATTTCTGTAGACGCCGTGACGGCCTTACTGCATTCCGAAAATAACGCTTCAAACTTTTAACACAATTCAGAGATGGGGCTACGGTTCGGTACTTCATGTACTTGGTATAACTAGCAGATGGTGACGTATCACTTATCGCATTTGATGCCTCAAGTGACCGGTTTGAATCAGAGATGGCGCTTTATCCTTCGTCCTATTTTGAAACGGTGCCTCGGGTACCAGAAGCATTCGCAGGAATAACAGTGCTCGTGTCGCAAAAATTTGATAGCTGTGTCCCCTTGGGCCTGCCTACTCTCATCTTTTCTCTGGTCTAACGTTTCCGTGTTACGTTTCGAGGGCCAACGGCACCGACGGTTGGCCCTCCCCGCGTCTCTTTCCTCCCGAATTTCTAGCACCTCGGGTCTCACTCGAGAGGAGAGGTCCTACTTTGTCTCGGATCACCCCAGAGGGCATGCGTTCAGCTCGTATGCTTCGAACGTCTTACAAACAAGATTTTTGTTAATTAACTTCAGCCTTCGCGAGTGAGGTTGTGTGTCGACTCCGTGGTCTTAACGCACCCCAGCACCATCCGAGGTTTCGGCGATACCTAATAAATAAAGGACACATAGCTTTTTAACACGTTAAGCGCCATGTCAGTCACCGGTGGCTTACACAATATATTTTCTGTTCGGACCACGTCAGTCATCGGTGACTGACAGTATACTCTTCATCAGGTAAAGTCGGATATAGTCGGATATTGCGCGCTAAACGGAAATGAAGAGAAAACAGGTTTAGCGCTTAACTTGGTTAAGAAAAATAAGCCGACTATTCTTTTCTTTCTCTCCAACCCATCTTCTCCAACTCGTCCCGATCTATATGACTCAGCTTCTCCTATGAGCGGGTAGCTAGCCGCGGTTCCGAACATCGCTCCTGATCCGTCTTCGAAAAGTCACCTGTAGTACGTGGCCGACCGTCCGAGGCCTGTGCCGCGATATCGGCATTCGGATTCCCTCAAAATCCCCCGGGCGCCGTCAAAACTCTAGTCGACACGGCCATCAGCCCCGACACCACGTCACAAAATGTCTTAAAAATTGTTTATATTTTTTATCTTATAGATTCGATGTTTTAATACTTTAATTTTTAAAAGTTATTAATGAACCAGAAGTAAGATATTTTTTGTATTCAGTATATACAATAGTAACTGATCTCAGTAGTTTTGTAACCATTTAAATTATTTAGTTCATAATTAACACAATGTAACCGAAATTATGATCAAAACGAATTGTGACGAACATATGTATTTGGAGAAGTATTTTTATACATTATGATGTTTCTGATGCGATTGATTTTACCTAATCTTTTAAACGAGTCTATTTAAATAATTGATATATTAAAAATGATAGTGATTATAATGGTGATTTAAAAAGTCAGCGATATTTTATTCTTTCCAAAAAATCGTGGTTTTTATCAACCCTGCAAATTATACTTAATCTAATAGTTCTTATGTTCAATAAAGCCCTACGCATTTTTAATGGGTTGCTTTCAAAAAAACACTAATTCAGCTATGCGAAAATTGACAGGATTCTTCAATGTGTGGATGGTTTTTATGTAATTATCTATTATTTAACAAGTAAGTCATATTTATATAGTTTTTTTCTTTTTTCAAGAAGTACCTACATCGTTGAGAAAATAATCGAGTCCTTTTTTACAAACATCGAGTGCAGCCAAAGGCTGATCCAGTCTTACGTATACTCGAATCAATCTCAAGATCGTCTCGATATTTTTGGTATCCTTTAAAACAGATTTGAATTGCTGCTCGGCATCTCGAACCAATCCTAACATATAATAACATTTTCCTAATTGTATTTTCCACCACCAATCCTTGAATTGACAAGCTTGAGTGGCTTGTACTGCCAGATCGAGAGCCTGAAAAAATCCATTATTGTTATTAATGATGTCATTCATTATGTTTCTTAAAACATATTTAATATTGATTCCTGTACACATTACTTATACAGGGTAGTTCACTGAAAGCCGCATACCTGAATATCTTGAACGAATTTGAAGATACATGTAGGATAAATTTCATGCAAAAATGACTCTTGATCGAAGGTTATTTTTATCCAGAATTATTAGTTGAAGCACAGCCAATCAATCGCGTTTCCGAACGGAACGAGATTGATTGGCTGTGTTTTAATTAGTTATTACAGGATATTAATGCACTGTAGGAAAAAAATAATACCGGACTTTTCGACTCCCTTTTCAACAAGGATAACGCTGTATAAACCGTGACTACCAGTCCTGTTGCACCCTGTATATGTGTAGACTTCGCTTTGCAGTGGTAAAGGTAAACGTATGTACCACGTGATCTGACCGCTCACTCACACAGTTAAAGCCATTCTGTTTACTGAAAATTAGGGAGTGGGACATTACAAGGTCTTGATATACAGGATGTCCCATAATAGATAGTAAATTTCTCAAGGGGTGAAGGATGTTGATATTTGAGGAAGAAACGGAGCAAAATAAAGCACAATAGTTCTCCTGTGAAACTTGATAAAAGACTGACTTTATTAGCGTAGAAGGAGATGTGCATACTTGGGCAAATAGTATTAAGAACTGTCAAGAGATGGCACAGCATGTATCGATTCTTAATATTTTTAGATATGTGATTTCTACAAAAGAGGGTGAAATTTTGAAATAGAAGATCCTTTTTCATTTTTGACTCGGAACACCTTTTATCGAGTTATTAGTAGTTAAACTTGACAATCGAGGCGACGCGCGGCCGAAGTCTGCAGGGGCGCAGCGTAGGGCTCCTCGCTCATACCTTACATTCTTCCAGAAAAAATTCACTTTAATATGTCAAATTATTTAATACACGCATGAATAAATAAATAAATAAGAATAAAAACAATTATAAATTGACCAAATAATTATTTTAAAAATCATTCTTTAACCTCATCATTAAGTAATAAATTACTGATTGATCGATTAATTGTCCAACTAATTAATTAAGTCATCCATTTATTCACTGGTTGGCAAATTAGTCAATTCCTTGCTTAATTAATTGTAAAAAAGTAATGAGTAGGTGAATAAATGTTGCTAACACGTTGACCGCTACGCAAATTTGACATGGATAGCCCATGGCGCCAACGTTAATTTTTTATTATGCGTTGCCGGTCACCGGTGACCCCCATGGCAGTCAACGTGTTAATCACGTTCTTTATCCTCTTATTTTGTGAATGATTTTTGCTTCCTGAAAGCGGGGTGACGCGCGAAAGATTTCAAAGTAAAAATTCTAGTTATAGCTCAATTCTTCATCATCATGTGAACACGAGTCAGGAGTAACATCATGTGCACGTGGCATCCATTCTTTCTCATCTTCTACAACATTCATTTCGCAATCCTTATACGGTTCTTGGAAGTCGACTGTTTCATCTTCTGTTACTTCTATACCATTATATTCGTTCATAGCATTGAGTAACACATTTTCAAAAGTTTTTGCTATCTTTCTCTCGTCGTTGTTCACTATAATTCCAGGAATATTCATAACTTCGAATGTAAGAAGTAAGAGTCTTATAACATTAACTGGATTTACAGTCATTTTCGAAATGACTATTCCACGCTACCAAAAGACTGAACCATTCACAAAGAAGTTGCCTGTGAAACTAAAAAGTAGTAATACTACAGGCTCATTTACAGCACTTGCGGGATAATGCGAGCAAACAAGTTAAATATTTCGTCGACATTTATGAATTTGCGATAAAATGTGCTTTGAGACATGTAAGTACTCAATAATTCTTATCTATAATCGTTGATAGTGGTGTAGGGAATCCATGAAAATTAGAGATATGTCTCAACCAGAATCTGGGTATCTTCCTTCGGTTTTTTTTTTTACTATGGGTAGTCCCAGTAATGTCGTCAACTGGCACAGTCAGATTATGTAAAACTGGATGTTTTGTAGGTTGGGAGACTGTTTTAGAAAATATGGAATCTTTGATTAATATTCAGCTTCGTCGCGTGTTAAAATATACTGAGGTTCCCCCTGTTTCGTTATGAAAACACTCCTTTCAATTCACCGATAGATCTCTGTTTGACTTACTGCCTAAATGCATTAGTATACGTCAGATTAGGTGGCTGTAAGTTAAGGGACGGTTTGAACAAGTTTGGTTTGGAATATCTTAGGATGTTTGGATGCGTCCCCGGTAGATTATATTTAATATCTGCCCGCAGACTGCTGCGATATTGTTGCGTTGATTATCATCGACCGGTGAAACCGCTAATCTTCGGTTATGGGTGGTTTACCCAGAAAAAACGGTTCAAGATTTGGAGGATATTCGCGGAACTTCTAGACGCTCGTTCTTACGAAGCTCAAGTGGTTGTCGCTATGTTTATTACGAAAAAAGATTCATTGTATGTCACTAATGCCGATATTTTTCGTTAAGGGTGGTTTTCCTTCCGACAATGTGTTGCGGACGGACGACAAGGGATGCAGGTGCCTTTAATTACTTACTATTTCAAGATTACACCCATGTCCTTCGAAAGTGAAACTCCACTTCATATCTTGTGTATTTTAAATTCCACTTGGGGGTGCTTAACCCCCGGAGCAGTACTAAAAGTGGTTTTGGATGTGTTTGGAGGATCGAGTATGTATTTAGGTGATTTCTCGATTGAACAGTCATAAGAAACACGATTTTAAAACAAATATCCGCAAAATTTTATATACGGGTTGCTACCCCCATAAACCATTTTTTTCGCGAGAAACTAAAAATGGTGTATCCCCTAACCTTCATTCCGCTACAAAATGGTTACTATTTCATTGAAATAAAATAGTTATTTAACACCAGAGTTGATAAACAAATATTAATCAGGGTAGTTTACTCTCTTAATAGAGGTCCGCGATAAAAGACTCTAAGTGTATTTTAAAGAGCTCATCGTTCTAAACATTTTGCCGATTGTTTCATTCAAATTGATAGGGTGCTTCTATATAAAACTGTGAAACCACCCCCTTACATGCCCATCTTTAGAGAGTAATTTCATCCCTTAAAACCGTTTATTGACAGATACAAAAAAATACGTGTCTCTTAGATTCTGTTTCTCTATAACATATCAAAGGGAGAGCAAAATGGGAGGGGGACACTAACGTTATGTTTCTTGTTAGTTTATTTGAGCAATATAACCGTATTGCATTTGTATGACTTTAAATCCATGCCCGTGCTTTAGTCAAGTAGTGATTCCGAAGCGAATGTCGCGCCGCCTAACAAAGAAAGATCTGTATCCGATTATCAGGAAACTTCTATAACATTGTGTTCGCCCTCCTGGTCTCTAGTCTCCATGGTCGTAGTCGTCCTCGTAGGCATCGTTGTTGTTGTACTATGAAAAGTTGACTTTCATATAGTTTTTGGGCAGCCGATATCGACACCGCCTCTTGCGAAACATAAAGGAACTGTACCCATCCTTGTTTTAAAATTGTTGGATTTTTATAGAAAAAAAGGTTTCTTCAAGTTTTTGAGATCATTGAAGCCAATAGAAGTTCTGATAGTAGAAGAGAGAGATCAGACAGATTAGACAACAGAATTTTAAAATTCAAAATGGCGGACAAAAAATTTGGAAATTAAAGAAAAAAGGATATCTCTACAATCTTGGAATTGGTGAATACCAATATGACAACAGAATGCGGATTTAAAATATCAAAATGAAGAATTGGAAATATGGTTTACGAAAATAGAGATTGAAGTACAACCAATCAAGCGCGTTCCCTAACCGAACGCATAGCGGAGAGGATTGCTTCACAGTGCTGCCTGATTTCATTTCAGAAAATGTATGGAAAGTAGTGAGGGAACGACAGAAAAATCCGTATAAGTCCATATAACCTAAATACATGTGTATAAGAAACACGTTTTCTCGTTTTACGCTGAGCGGCGGCGGCAGATGACATCATTACAAATATCAAAATTTATATAATCATAAACTATAAAGCATTTAATTAATCTATCCTAATCTATGGCTCGGAATTAGATGCTTGAAGCGAAATGTGAAACGTAGATGAGACCAGGTTAGGTAAATTGATTAATTCAGATGTAACTGGAACAATATTTCTATAGCGACACATTCCAGCTTTAATACTGAGCCTGCCTATAGTGGCGCTGTAATCATTTTACCTATCTAGCTCTATCCTGTTCTTACTTATGGCAAACAATGACTATGTCTCCATCGTACTCCTAAATCCGGGATTTATCGAATCCGTATTCAATAAATCCGAAGTTAAAAAACTGTTTAGGCTTGGATCATGAGTTATGGCGGGATTGCTAATAAACTAATAAGGGTTCTTTTAGCCTGGTTTCTCAACTCGAATTATCACAAGTTGTGGAAACTGGCGTTAATGTCTTCTGCATATAGATCCTATGCAGAATTTGATTGGTCGATTCCGATGGTGACATTGGATCCTCCATGAGCAAATCTAATTAAGTTCTGCATAGGATTTGCATGCAGGAATCATATATTTACTAAGTCACCACCGTCGGTATTTATTTAATACCGGATAGGATAAATTTGACTTTAGGTACATTTCCACCATCTGGTTTTATCTAACACTGAACTAACTAGATGGTAAAGACGCACCGAAAGCCGGTTTCATCCAATCCGATATTTAATAAACACCGACCGTGGAGACATAGTAATTAATCTCCCAATGTAGATTTAAATCATAATCAAAATCCGTAAATAATCCGTAAAAATGTCGAAATCCGTATATTTTTTTTATATATTGAAAAATCCGTAGTTCTACTGAGAAATCCTGTTGCTACGGCACAGATAGCCAAACGCGGCCGTACCGGTACGCTCTCCACTATGCCTACCGTCGGGGAATGCAACTGATTGGCTGTGTTTCAATTAGTTATTACAAGAAATTCATGCAATGTAGGAAAAAACTATACAGGACTTTTGACTCTTTCTTCAACAAGGATAGCGCTGTATAAACCGTGACTACGAGTTCTGTTACACCATGTATACCGTTCAGTATATCACCACAGAAATTAGATCTCTTAAAGGGCGCCATTAGAATTCATGACAAGATCATTATTGAACCATCTGATTGGAGTGAGGCGGCCTGAAGACCATTTGGGCAACATTTGGCCATGGACAATGCGAGGCACTCTTTCTCGAAGGAGTGTTCTGTACGTGGTTAGAAAATAGCTAGAGAAAGGACTCGAAATTTATGACCCCCATTAGGGGGGTCTTCAAAGTGGCCACTTCAGAGTCTGTCATGGCGACGCATTTCCAAAAGGGTATCGTATGGCTACCAGACATCGCGAACTTTCTCTAGGATTCGAGGATGTCTGTGCCGACCTGGAAAAACGAACCTTTGGGAAATGCTGTCCTAAAGTCAGCCAATCAGGGCTCAGCATCCCAAGTGCATCCCTTCCTGGGTTTCGACAGAGGAAAGGGAAGAAAGTGCATCGCGA